TGACCCATTTACCGGTTAGAATGTGTCGGCAGCTTTGGTGTAAATAATATGCCATTCAAATTGTTTACGGGCTCGCAGTGAGTACTAATTGTTGTTAATCTACATTGATGAAGTCTGTTTCTTTATTTGAACAAAGTGTTTTTACAGTCAAACACATTTTAATACAATAAGTTTAATCGAAGAAATTATGACCGAGCGTAAGCTGCTCTATGAGAACGATGTTTACCGTAGCACTGCGTCTAATATGTATCAAATAGTTAAAGAATATATGATCGACTTGTGAATCTTAAGAAACTTCGAGGTAAGCGATATTTTTATGTAGGATTTACGTTGTTGGGACCGATATTTCACTTCGAGATATCCGAGTTATTCGAGTTTTCAGAGTTCGAACTATCAGAGTTTTTATTACTAAGATTAAGAAGAGTTTTGGCCGGGACCGATGAAACACTTCGAGTTAAGCGGGGTCTTCGAGTTAAACGAGTTCGAGATAACGAGGTTCGACTGTAGATGCATGCATATACCAAGCAACTATATTGTCATTATGGATAAAAACTAAGTAAATCTTCTTTTTTTTCTCCTCTTTTCTTCTTTTTACTATTATATTTTTCATCTGCTGATATGTTTACAATCATAACACTTTCATAAATAACTATTGCTTTCGTCGGGAATCTCTCTTCCTCTCTTCTTGCTCTTATGTCTCTCTTATCCCTGTCACTCTTTTTCTGGATACATTTCTGCTTTTTTTTACCCAAACTATCCCCCAATCCCCGTTTCAATTAGTTCCAGTAAATTTATTGTATTTTTATCTTTCTAGGCGTATGTTATGCAAGTTATATTTGTAAACCAACTTTTAAATTAATGATAAACTGGTTATTTACGACAATTTTTTTTTTTTTAAATGTGTGAAATTTTGGTGAGATACATATATTTTAATTCAAAGCCTTCTTGCAGAACAGAGTTGCACAGAATCATGATACAACTTGAATATATATGCTTAATTAAGAGAGTATTAATGTAAAGGACTGTAGCTGATGCGTTCCATCCGCAGACGGTTCCTCATGTATATGATTTGTCTGGACCCCCCCCNAAAAAACCCCACCCACCAACAAATATAAACCAAACCATCCATCCACTTTGGACAGAAAGATTATCGTTTTCCTTTAGAATTTATTTCCTTTCATAAGCTAATGTCATTTAAGGACTTGCCTCTATGTTTGTAGTGTGCGTGCTTGCGTAAATGTGTGTATGCTGCAGGACGCATGTTCTTTCCTTCCTGTGATAGTGCAGATCGGATGCCGACTTTATAGTCATATCACTGAAATACCATGCCGAAGGCAGCCAGCACAGCATTCCGTTCGGTCGCATTATACTGACATAGGTTAACCAGCTGTTGGCGTTACCCTACATGTTGAACGTTTAGCACGAAAATCTACTATGTTAATGGGTTTGATATGTCCTGGCCTTGGTATAGAACCCGTAGCCTTTCTTGCCTTGGCAAACGTTCAATATTTAAGCCAAAAGTGAGGTGTTGTCAAGTGAGGCGGTAGGAAATAAAAGGTTAAAAGAAGAAGAGATAAATATAAAGACAACAAAAAGTGTAATGGGTCAGCAGTTTTATTTTGATCGCTTTCGAAAGCATCCCCAATTCTGCAAGGGGTTCCCGTATTGGGTTCTCACATAAGTCGCCTCTTACGATACATACAGTGGGTAACAGAAGGAAGCTTTACACTTGCTTCCCACATTTCCTGAAAAAAAGGCAGGAAACTGACATGGTACCGTTCCTGTAAGGCTTTTTATGTCAGTTGATTGGTAGAATTGTTCATGGGTTTCTTTGATTTGTGTGATACATCTTCTTTAAAACTTATTGCTATAAATCTTAACTATTAGCCATAACGTTCCTTCTATGTCGTATGTTCAATTATTCAAGTGAGTAATGAGGCCCTGTTGACCTCTCTTCTCCTGCATCGTTTTGCTTTTCTGTTGTTTTATCTCTATTACTAGACATTGATATTGTTTTTACCTTCAGTACTGTTTGCAGCCGAACAGCCACCCGTGTTCATGTGTCGAGATACTGCAAGTTTTGGTTTTTAGGGTAAGGAGTGAAATTATTATTTTTATGATATTCTTTTGTAATAATTTGGGATTGAATTACACGCGATGAGAAACACATGTACACAAATATGTAACATCCTTTTTTTGTCGAATCACAAACGAAACTTTATTTAAAGCACGATGCCATAACTTAATTACTAATTTAATCATTAAATAACGAATGGATTTATTTTCGATTAAATAAACGAAAAGGGCAAAGGTATATTTTCCAATGCAGACATTTACATTCAATGTGCAACCCAAAAACCTTTCCATTCTTTTATCCATTTTGATTCCTGCGATGTTCATTTTGAGACAACTATATATAAAATTGATGTCTTCTGAAACACCTTAAAGATGTTTTAATTGTCAAAATATTTTCTCACTTAGGTGTTGGTCTTGGGGCACCCATAGATACTGGTCATACTCCCGTGTAGAGTACTGCTGTAGGGGATACAGGTCTAACCGTGGACGTTGTGATCGTAAGTTTTTTTCAGCGATATGAATGGGGTGCCGTTGTGATGTTTCTTTCGGTTTTTTAATATTAAGACATCGAGGTATCGTCATTAAAAATAGTTTTCCACATCAAAAAGTTGAATTTTTAACATCAAGAAAGGGAATTCCTGACGACAATTATTTTTAATTTCATGACCAAGAGTTGCTTCTTCTCAATGATTTTAACAAAAACAAGTGTGACAAGTTGCCATACCCTTAACATGGCACAAGTTGTGTCTCCTTTTGTGGAGTGACCGACTCGTTGTGAAATATTTAACCTTCGGAAATACGTTTGAAAACATGTTTTCAAAACCCCATTATACGACTCATAAAACTGTTTGAAATTTGTTTGTTTTAATTTTTCCATTCCAATAAATAAATATTTCATTTCTTATCCATCTTGAAAATATTGAAATGTGGATATTTGATGGTCATTTGCGATGTTAAATTAAAACATGTTCATACAGCCGCAAGCAACAATAGTTGTTCTTGTACAAATAATTCGGTCTGAGAGACATCTACAATAAGTAAAAACTTTGAAAGTAACATTGTTACGGTACATGATTCATTTTAAAATGGCTTTAAAAAAAGAAACCTGCTTTATTATAACGATTGTAATATAAAAAAAAACACACTTAAATACATTAAAATCTTGATCTCTCATTCCAGCACATTGTCCTCGAGGGTGTGGAGGAGTGGGCACGTGTGTTGCCCCCTCTGTATGTAACTGTGGTCAAACTCACACAGGCCAACACTGCGGTAAACGTAAGTGTTATGCCAAAATGATAATTATAAATAGGTTCTTGTATGTATTACAGGTGTCAACTGACGAGGTTTTGTTACAGATCAGTTGACATTTTAATGTTGCGACAATGCCGTTTGCTGAATTATTATTTCGAAACATAATTCGTTCCTTAACGCTATGCTGATAATATCAGCCTGCTGTTACCCACCGATAACTTTACCAAATGTGTTAGTGACGGTTTAATTTCAACTTTTTGGCCGTGTGAAATACTGACGAGTTGACGGTATACAGTTTTTTTAATCATATGTTGACAACTGTTTTCCATTGATGTACTTTTACGTGAACGGTATATAACCCTTGTTCCGGTGGCATAACGACAAATGAATAGGGCACGGCTTTTGTTTAATGTCAAACTGACTAAGGTACGGTACACACTTTCTTTCAAGTGGCATACTTACAAATGTACGGTATCAAATTTCAGTTTCGAATGACTCTTATGTTTCATACGACATTAGATGTTTCAAGGAGAAAAAATCCAATTGTATATAAACAAACTCCTTCCATGTGTGATAATGGTTGAAAACATATAAGACTTCTATAATAAACACACAATTTAAATAGACGGCATAGCACGCTCATCATTTATTCTTCTAGCATAGTATTTAAAATTGTACCAAATGTGGTAATCTAATTTAATTTGTATTAACTTAAGTGTATTTATGTATTTTTTAATTTGAATGTTAATAATTATTTTTGTCTATTTTGCTTCTATTGTTGTATCATTGTGTTAAGAAACCAGTCTTTCCTTTGTTTAGCGCAATGCTCCTACAGGTTCCCATGTTATCCTGGAATATGTTCATTACCTGACCATTGTGAATGCGCAGACTCTTTTGGCAAGCCTCGGGGAGAGAGCAAAAAATGCAACGAAAGTAAGTTTTTGATTTTCATAAAAAAACAGTTATCAAATACAATCAATACCCAATGAAGTTTATCTGTCATGCATTTTCGATTTACAAAATATCAGTGACGCAGTATATTTTAAGCAGTAAGATGTTACCTGAAGGACCGGGGCTGGTTTTTTCCGTGTCTTCTTTTAAAGGAGTCTCTGGAGAAATAAAGAAAAACCTGCTGTATCCAAATGCTGTGTATCGTTTCGTTAATTTTCCAAATGCAAAAACTTGTTAAAGTAAAACTCGTGTCTTAATACTATCTGTAAAAACTACCCTCATCGAGCTAGATAAATGTGACAATCAACCATCACTTATTTGGAAACCTATGTATAACTAATTTGTTGATATATAAATATGTGCGTGTTGACTAGTTACAAAGAGGCCATCGGTGATGATTGCAAATGCTTCCTTGGAATACTACGACAACGACAGACAAGACATCATATACTCGGTAACCGTAGTTGCCCCTGACAACGGCACGAACACTCTGACCTGGTGGTCCAACATCGGTAAGTTCAACCGATTTGACATCGCTATGGAGGCTTTTCTGGATCTTGGAGAACTTCCTCACAGACCGGAGTACGTACGATCTGACAAGTTTGGAATAATGAGCGCTCATATTGACTACACTATAACAAAAGGTAAGCAGTTCGCTATTTAATGCTGGAATGTACCCCAAACGGGAATAACTAAAATATCCCTTTCGCTGATCAAAATATGTCTCGTTGAAGGCATTATAAACAAAAACAAATGCTAACACCTTTATGGTCATTCAGTCTAAAGTATCATGTCAGTAGGAATTCAATATTGTCACTGAAACTTAGGAAGTAGATATTCCAAAAAGAACGTCACATTTTTAGCGTATATTGTTTTGTTTTTTTACGAAACTGCAACATAAAAATATCAATATCGATTCACCCATATCAGATTCAATGTGTTATTTTAGCATCACACAGCGTTCCGAATGCAACAGAAAGGGTCATCTGTCAGACAGCTAACCAGGAGCCAGAATCTGGCGTAGTCAATTGTGCTAAGCACGTGCCTTTCTTTGGATATCGCCTGGACAATGGTGACGTGTAAGTTATATTATTACATATTAATCAAATGATATTAATCAAATGTAACAATCATTGAGTCTAATGATATATGTTAACATGCACGTACATGTTGAATACAGGATGTACTCTTCTGAGGTTGCAATCACGTTGAAGTCTCGTTTTGATCTCATGTAACGGTTTTTTGTAATATTATAAAAAGACGATTTAGCGGCCGTTTTGAAAATAATTTTTTCTTGCGCTTATCGAAAGACAAAAATTACGCCTTGTTTGACACTAGATTGATCACTGAAATCGTCATTGTGTTCCATATGATGAAAATAATATGCAACAAAGAAGAAAATCAAACATAATTGTTTTTAGCTCACCTGGCCCGAAGGGCCAAGTGAGCTTATGACATGGTGCAGCGTTCGTCGTCCGTCCGTCCGTCATCCGGCGTCCGGCATCAATATTTTTCTTTAACCAACTTCTTCTTAATAACCAAAAGGCCTAGGGTGATGATATTTGGCCAGAAGCAAACTAAAATGAAGGGCTACAAAGTTTGTTCAAATAAATTACCTTCACCTTTTTTCAAGGTCAAAGGGGTCAAATATGTTAAAAACTTTAAACAACTTCTTCTGAATAACCAAAATGACCAGAGTGATGATTTTTGGCTAGTAGCATGCTGGGATTAAGGGCTACCAAGTTTGTTTAAATAAATGACCATCGTCCATTTTCAAGGTCACAGGGGTCAATTGTCTTAAACAATCTTTATACAACTTCTTCTGAATAACTAAGAAGCATAGGCTAATGATATTTGGCCAGTAACATGCTAGAATAAAGGGCTACCAAGTTTGTTCAAATGAATGACCTTTACTTATATTCAAGGTCACAGCGGTCAAATATGTTAAAAACATTTAAACAACTTCTTTCGAATAACCAAGGGGCTTAGGATAATGATATTTGGCCAGTAGCATGCTGGGATGAAGGGCTACCTAGTTTTTTCAAATGAATGACATTGACTTATATTCAAGGTCACAGGGGTCAAATATGTTAAAAACCTTTAAACAACTTCTTCTGAATAACTGAGAGGCATAGGGTTACGATATCTGGCCAGTAGCATGCTGTGATTAAGGGCTACCAAGTTTGTTCAAATGAATGACCTTCGTCCATTTTCAAGGTCACAGGGGTCAATTGTCTTAACAAATCTTTAAACAACTTCTTCTGAATAACCAAGAAGCCTAGGATAATGATATTTGGCCAGTAACATACCAGGATGAAGGGCTACCAAGTTTGTTCAAATGAATGACCTTTACTTATTTTCAAGGTCACAGGGGTCAAATATGTTTAAAACCTTTAAACAACTTCTTCTNNNAGGATGAAGGGCTACCAAGTTTGTTCAAATGAATGACCTTCGTCCATTTTCAAGGTCACAGGGGTCAATTGTCTTAACAAATCTTTAAACAACTTCTTCTGAATAACCAAGAAGCCTAGGATAATGATATTTGGCCAGTAATATGCCAGGATGAAGGGCTACCAAGTTTGTTCAAATGAATGACCTTTACTTATTTTCAAGGTTACAGGGGTCAAATATGTTTAAAAACTTTAAACAACTTCTTCTCAATAACCGAAAGTCTTAGGATGTTGATATTTGGCCAGTAGCATGCTAGAATAAAGTGCAACCAAGTTTATTCAAATGAATGATCTTTACTTATATTCAAGGTCACTGGGGTCAAATAAGTTCAAAACTTTTAAACAACTTCTTCTGAATGACCAAGAGGCCTAGGCTAATGATATTTGGCCAGTAGTATGCTGGGATAAAGGGCTATCATGTTTGTTCAAATGAATGACCTTAACATATTTTCAAGGTCACAGGGGTCAAATATGTTTATAACCTTTAAACGACTTCTTCTAAATTAGCCTAAGGCCAAGGGTGATGATATTTGGTCATTAACAGGCTGGTATGAAGGGCTACCAATTTTGTCAAAATGAATGACCTTCGCCCATATTCAAGGTCACAGTGGTCAATATATGTTTAAATCTTTAAATGACTTGTTCTGTATAACCAATAGGTCCAGGGTTATGATATTTTGCCAAAAGCATGCTGGGTTGGAAGACTTTAAACTCTGTTCAACCTAATGTCCTTGTTCGACATTCAAGGTCACAGGCGTCATATGTTTAAATCTTTTAATAGGTTCTTATGAATTAAACACTGATATTCTGCCTGTAGCTTTATTTTAGTCCACTTTTAAGATTACAAGTGTGAGATTAATACCCGGTGAGCGATTCAGGCCCATTGGGCCTCTTGTTTTTACATACTTTGTGTAACTGAAGTACTTTTGATTTCTAATTCCGAAAAAGGTAAAAAAAAAATAACACAGAAAGTAATTAAACATTAGGTGAAGCACACGGACCCACCTCTCCCCTTCCCCCTTACCGTATTTGTGACTGTTTTAGAAAGTGTAACACATTTTCTTTTGATCCATTGAATCTATAAACAAGTTTGTAAGAAATTTCTATTAGTATTTTTTCATTAAAAAATAAGGGGTAACTTAAATTTCGTTTCTGAGTAACAAAGATAAGAAATTTTCCTTTCAAAATTCAAGAGAAAATATTAATTTGATCAATTCTGCAAACTTTCGTACATATCTGATACCACACTTGGTAAAAAAGAAGAAAACACCTAAAATCAGATATCATGTTTTTGTATCTTTAACCGATTATAGCACAAAAAGGGTACACTTACATAATTATTATAGCATTTTCTAGTATGCCATTAACTCCTTTTTCAAAAAATGATATTAAAATCCTTCAAAACAATCAATTGATTTTGTCAAGTTTTATTCACAAATGTTTATCCATGGTCTTTGTTGCTATTATTTTTTCTCAATTAAGAAGTAGTGTCTTATTTTGAGGTAATATGCTAAATCATGATAAAGTTGTTTTAAATACGGATCAAGATCGTTCAAGTGCAAAATAATGAAATCCAACTCTGACCAAAAGAGTCCCTTCCTATAGAATTGAAGCACAAAATATAACAGCTTACCATTTTGTTATATGTTTAGGTTTACTATGCGATTCGAAGTTGCAAGCGGCGGAT